TTTAAATCGCTTTTCATTTATTTTCAAGTCACTAGTTATAATTAAAATCAAAACCATTGAATAGAGTGTTTAGGATTTTCTATTTTCCGTGATCGAATACGTACGATTAAATCCGGCTAACATTCCTTGCGATACGACCCGGGGAACGAATCTTTCGATTCTACTCCGGTAAAAATATTCACAACAGTTGACGCAAAGTGCAATGTAGAGCAACACTAAACTTGTTCTAAAGAGGGATTTAAAGATAAAAAATATATGGAACAATCGAAATGTTAAGAGGGCAGGTGAAGGAGGAAACCCGCCATGTCTCCTATGTGATTTGGAACAAAATATCAAATGAACTTTAAATTAGACATTAAAAATATAACATTTGAAAATATTATTACATATGTTTAGGATGTAGTTTTTTTTTCGGAACGATAGAAGATTTATATAACCTCAAACCACGAACAATGTTCGAATACATCCACAAACACAAAAAAGCCGAAAAGAAAAGACTGAGAGGACACACTTACAAGCGGCCTAGAGCTCAAGAAACCAAAGATAAAACAAATGAAGAAAGCTAATCCAAACACTGCATAAAATGCCTAGCTAGATTTTCTAACTCCAAAGCAAAAGAAAAACAAGGGAAAAGATAGAAAAAGAGACTACAAACAGAGCAAAACCAACCCTATAAAGCTGAGAATTTAAGCCATTCCTTGTGAGCCATCTTGATCACAATAGGAATAGGCATAAGAGTCTTCTCAAAGAGCCATTGGTTGCATGATTTCCAGAGCCACCATAGGAGATATGTAGATAGTTGAATCCTCTCTTCAGCTACTGGAGTTTTCTTCAAGGTGCATAAGTGCCACCACCAAGATTTGAATGAACAACCAATTATATCTGTAGAATTCCAGTTAACAGGACCAATTTTCCACAGTGATTGAGCCCTATGACAAGAGAAAAGCACATGTTCTATGGTTTCTGGGAATTCACCATAATAAGGAAAGAAGACATCAATTGGGACACCTCTCTGCCTTGTATTGATGTTCACATGCAAGAGACCAGAGAAGCATTTCCAGAGGAATTGTTTGACAGTGCCTTTGACTTTGAGTGCCTAACTTCTGAGCCTAGCCTTTTTATTATCTGAGAGGTGCAGACTGGGACTTGGAATATCAAAAGAGCGAAGCTTCTGTTTGAGGAGATGAGAATATGTAGAAGATA